CACCCTGGGCGTGTGTACCCTCTCTCCACACCAGTGGGCCAGTGTTTTTTAATCCTGACCAAACTAAGGCCAAAAGGTGTTAGGTTTTAGATTTGCATTTCTTTGATTGATGTGTTTCCCCTGAAATTTTAAAACAGTTTTATTGAGATACAATTAGCACACCAGCCACCATTTAAATTGTACATGCCAAGTGTGCAACTTGGTACTTTAAGTACATTCACAGAGTTGTACCACCATCAATTTTTTTTAAAAGATTTATTTATTTGTGCATACAGAACTGGGGTACAGGCCAGAGGCTCAGGGGTGGCGAGAGGCTTCCCCAGAGACAATGGGGAGCAGAACAGGCAGATCGATGAAGTACACCGCTGAGGGGAGCAGCGGGCGGGCCAGGAGAGGTCTGCCACACCATGTGGTCACCTCTGGCTGGGGCAGGTGGGAATCGAACTCATGCTGAAGTGGCTTTGGCTTCTCAGTGCTGTGCTTTAACCCGCTGCACCACCAGGGAGGGCCCCCTCCATCAATTTTAAGGCATTTTCATCATCCCCAAAAGAAGCCCCACAAACCTTAGCAGTCGGCTCTCTACTTTCCCCTCATCCCCACCCCCACCTCAAGAACACCGATCTACTTCTGTCTGTAGATTTGCCTATTTGGACATTTCCCATGAATGGATCAGATGCTATGTGGTCGTTGGTGTCTGGTTTCTCTCACTCAGCATCACATCTTCGAGGTTCATCCATGTTGTGGTGTCAGCGCTTCTTGTAGCCTGACTTTGTGTAGCCTGACTTTCTCATTGTAGGGGTGAACCGCATTTATGTGTCATTCATCAGCTTTTGTGCACATGGGTGTTTCCTTTCCCCGGGGTATGTGAACTAGGAATGGAATTGTGGCTTCATGTGGAAATTCTCTGGGTAAGTGCTGGAAAAAACTTCTAAAGAGGCTGCCCTGGCTCGTATTCCCACCTGCAGCCCGAGGTCTCTGGCCTGCACACCTGGTGTCCCCCTGGCCTGTATCTGTGAGGGGCCCCTTCCTGTGGGGGTGTGCGTTTCCCCAAAGCCCTGTGATGCATCTTCCATGCGCTAGAGCAGTGGCTGTGTCTTCAGCAAAACCAGTGCAGGTCCCTTGCCTGTTGCTAAATTGTGTTATCTTCTAATAATTCAGTGGCTATACATGCTAGATACACATCTTTTAGCAGATATGTGACTTGCAAATATTTTCTTGCCTGCAGTGGGTTGTCCTTTCACTTTCTTGATTATATCCTTTGAAACACAATTTTCATTTTAATGAAATTCAGTTTCTTTTTTTTTCTTCTGTTGTTTGTCTTTCAGTGTTATGTCTATCTCTTGCCTAATCCAAGGTGATGCAGATTTACCCTGATGTTTTCTTGTAAGTTTTCTAGTTGAGTACTTATCCTTAGGTATTTGATACAGTTAATTTTTGTATTTGATGTAAGGAGAGGGACCTTATTCTTTCACATGTAGACAGCATTATCTCAGCAATTCTTTCACATGTAGACAGCATTATCTCAGCAACAATTGTTCAGAAACTATTCTTTTCCGATTGAGTTGTGTTGGCAGCCTTGTCAAAAATCAATTGATTGTAAACATGAATTAATCTCTGAACTTTCTCTTTCATTCCATTGCCCTGATGTCTGTCTTGTTTTTATCACTGTAGCTGTGTGCTGTCTTGAAATGGGGAAGTATCAGTCATACAACCTGTTTTTAAGGTTATTTTTGTTTTGGCCCTTAGAGGTCATTTGCAGTTCTGTCTACATTTTAGGGTCAGCTTGTTAGTTTCTGCCAAGGTGGGAGTCCTGGTTGGGATGGAGAGAGTCTGTGGAAGAGCAGATCTGAGTAGAATCCATGGACTGCATCTGAACGGTGTTAGCTCTTCCCACCCACAGGCTTGTCATATTTTCCATTTACTTAAATCTTTCATTTCCTGCAGCATTTTTTGTAGTTTTCAGAATGTAAGTTTTGCACTTCTTCTGAGAAATCTATTCCTAAGTAGTTGACTCTGCTTGATGCTCTTGTGAACCTGAATTGTGGTCTTAATTTCATTTTCATTTGCTCACTGCTACTGTACTGAAATGCAGTGGAATTTGTGTGCTGATTTGCACCCTGCAACCCTGCTAGACTCGTGTTTTAATTCCCATTGACTTGTAGCAGATTTGTGAGGAATGTCTAATATGAAATCATGTTACCTAATAGAGAGCTTTATTTTTCCCTTTGCTGTGGGGACACCTTTTATTAATTTCTTGCCTAATTGCCCAGCCCCTGGCTTTAGAATTATTTTTCTTTTCCAACTTGCTCATTCTCTGTGTTGTGATTTCATCATCTCTGTTGGTATGGAACACTCTCTGTGGCATGTGTTGTCGATATCCATCCCATCTTTGTTCTGGTAAATTAGGACCCCGCCACACACCCAGTCCCACTGCTCTACCTCAGTGAGTGTTTGGCTGGTCGGCACACTCTCTGAGCTTGGTTTCCTCATGTTAAAGGTGATTTCTTCTGGATGGCCGTGGGTGCTCTTGAGTGCTGCATGCAATGAGGAATGCAGATACTTCTTGACCAGGATGTTCTATCAGACCTGCATTGCCGTTGTCAGCATTGACACTGAGCATGGACCCCTGAGAGCAGGAGGAGATCTTAGTCCTCCCAGCTCAGGGCAGTCTCCATGCAGCCTGGCCCCAGCTCTGTTCACCCAACACCTCCCTTGGGTGTGTCATCCAACCTCACCTGTGAGTTGGTGGAGGTGGCAACACAGTAAAGTACCCATCAGGCACCTAATGTTTTGTGTAGATTTCTCCTATACCCAACCTCTTCCCCAAGCCATAAGGGCCCCACATGGGTAGCCTGGCCTGCTTTGCAGCTACCTAAATTGACCCTCCTGAGGCCACTATAGGATCACATTCTTCCCCTGCATTCAGCCAGGTGGGACCCCCAGGTTCTTAGTGAGGCCAGCTGGGGGCTGGACTAAAGCAGTACAACCAAACACTATCCCCTAATGTTGCTGGCCATGATGAGGGACTCAGGCAGCTTCCCTGGCCGCAGAGTGTGAGGCAGGACTGAAGTCTGGGTCCCTGTTATCACCCTTCCCCAGAGTGTGGCAAAGTGGGCTTGGCCAGGGCAAAGGTGCTGATTTGCCAAGCTGTGTCTCCCGTCTGGACTAGGTGATTGTATGCATGTATGTGAAGTGCCAGTGCCAGTGTTGTACAAGTATGGGAGTATGTGTGTGCACCATCCCAGTTACAGCCACTGGCTGGGCGGGACTGGACAGACCTGGACATGCTCTGTCCCCACAGACTGCATAGGGGGGCGGTGAGGGAGCTTGTCTCCAGATGGTGTCAATCTGGGCTGCTTCCAGCTGGACTTGGATTTTGAAAGACACTCCAGCCAGCACAGATACATGGGGATATATGCTGAAAGCAGAGCCCACAAGGTTTGCTATCAATTGGGAAGAGCCTAGGCTGGTTCCAAGTTCTGGGTGAACAGCGTGGGGACTGACATCAGAGTTGCTTTATGTTGAGTAGGTTGTGGAATGTTAAGAGTCTTCTGGGACAGCTGGGCCAACTGGGCAGCAGGACACCTGTGTCTGGTGCTCAGGGGAAAGCCCTGACAGAAGGCAGGTTGCCCTCATCCACTGTGGAATGATGGGTCCTCAGTAGCCTGGTCTCCCCGTATCACCCCTGCCAGGTGCCTGTGTGAGGGATCAGCTCTGGCATGAGGTCCCCACAGTTGTTACTGCAGGCACAGACCACAGACCAGTTCTCCCTATCCTCTGGGACTAGCTGTTCTGTTATATGTATGCACTTTGTGCATTATCAGAATCAGAAAGTTCCAGAAAAGCAGAAGGAAGAGCTTCTTGCACTCAGAGTCCAGAACATCGATAGCCTCCACATTGCTTTTATCCAATTTCCGATAGAACCTGCGTGCCCATCAGAGGTTACAAGGACGCCAGCAGGGCCACTTGCTGGCAACAGGTCTGTCCCACTGTGGGTACCTCCCAGTGCCTTGTGCTGGGCGAGGGATGCCAGACAAAGGGCACGTGACAAGCGTGTGCATGTGTGTGTCTGTGCGCGCGTGTGCATGCGTGTGTCAGGGTGCTCTGATTCACTGCACGGTCCCTATGCTGGAGACGCGGCTGGCCTTCTTACAGCCTGGACGGTCCCGAGGCACACATCCTGGTGTTGGGGCAGTACGCCTATTCCCACTCCAGGAGGGAAGTCCTGTCCTCCAGGGAAGAGTTCTCATGTCACCTCTTTGCTCTCCCTTCCTAGGCACATGTGCATCCAGGGATGCTGCTTGCACTGCCTCATTATTTCCATTGGCTAGTTTCTTAGGTGCACATACAATATAAAGCTCTTAATGTACTTTACCAAAGTCCCCATCAGCAAAGTCCAAGAGAAGCCACTCCCGGTCCTTGGTGACTTCCTGCATGGTCTTTTTCCTTTTATTGTTCCAAGTTGAGGAGTAGAAAGAACATCAGCCCTCATTTGGAGGAACATTTGTTCCATTCCTATGAGGGTTAAGGCTTTCCATGTTTGTGAATCCCTTTGTGAATTGCTTGTTCACATATTGGTCCAATTGTCTTATCTTGCCGTTTTTATTTATGTATAAAATCTCTACAAATTAAAGAACTATTGCCCTGTGTTCTCCAAATATCTTTCCATAATTCTTTTTATCTAAGTTTGTTTTTTCAATTTTTCAAGTATAATGGACTGTAAATGGGTAGCCTGGCCTGCTTTGCAGCTACCTAAATTGACCCTCCTGAGGCCACTACAGGATCACATTTTTTGCTTTCATGCCATCAATTCTTTAGATCTCGCTCCTCTTTTCCCCCTGATTTAGCCTTTGGAGCTATGCTTAGACCAAATGATTTCTGTGTTTGCTTTTATTGTCTTCTGATGCATTTTCAATTTCAACACCATGAACTTGGAATGAAGAATTACACTTCCTTCAAAGTAGGGGTCAGCTCTGCCTTTGTGCCCAGCCCCTGGCTGCATGGATGCCATTCCCATGGGCTGGATGGCCTTGGGGCCTCTGGAGTGTTGTGTGGCTGTTGGGGCAGTACGCCTGTTCCCACTCCAGGAGAAGAGTTCTCATGTCACCTCTTTGCTCTCCCTTCCTAGGCACATGTGCGCAAGTGCAGCTGCCCCCGCGGGGTACCATCCAAGTCCTTCGTGGAGATGGGACTTCTGTGGGGACTGTCATCATGCTCCACTGCCCCTCAGGGCACCAGATGTTGGGGTCCGGCCTTCTCACCTGTGCTTGGAAGGGGAACATCACCGAGTGGTCTTCAGTGACCCCTGTGTGCAAGTGTGAGGCCCACTCCCCTTCAGTCGCCTCTGGGAGGGGACCTGATCCCTGCTGTGGATGGTGTGGGTGTCATGGAGAAGGTGGTGGGTGTGAGTCACAGCTGGGCCTGCATATAGGGTACTGGTGCTGGTGCTTGTGGGTGGAGAGTGACTGGGGGCCCCTTGGGAGCTATGACCACAGTGTGGACAGTCCCAGCAACCATTCCAAGTCCTAGCTCTGTCAAGGACTTAGCCTGTCACCTCCAAAAGGTTGCTGGTACTGTTCGAGTCAGAGCTGTCTCCTAAGTGGGAAGTGTCATTCATTCTTTCATTCCATGCATTCCTGCCACAGATCTTGATCCATGTGCCATGATTCTAGGATTGAGGGACACAGAAGACCAGGATGAATATGCCCAGTGGGGTCTCCCAGTGTAGGGGAGATGGTTGTCTAGTTTTCTCATATTTGTGTACAGAATATTGAAGAGTAGTACCCAGCACAGCATTTTCCAAAGTGAGGCCATATATGTTATATTAAAGTGCACTGAAAAGAGTTTCACAGTTAAATAATTTGGAGAATGCTGCAGGACCTCTTGGAGCCTGCAGTGCTCAGTGCTACTGAAGCTCTGAGAAGAATAATTAGATGCCAACAGACCAAAACCCCAAATAATAGAGATTAACCAAAATGTCAGGGGCTGTGAGCTCTCTTTAGCCCCGGCTGCAGGGTGGGCAGCCCTGGGTTGGCGTGGTGTCCCTATCGCCAGGGACTCAGATCCCATCTGTATTTTGGATCTGTTGGGCATGACCTCAACTTTGGGGTCCACATGATGGCAGTTATTGGGTGAGGGGCAGGGCAAAGACATGTCCCAGTATCCGCAGGAGACTTCTAGAAGTTGCCCCACGGAATATATAGTCTTCATTCTGGCTGACCAGTTTCCATTGGGGCGGGAGTCCTGGGGGCTGGGGACACCAGTGTCCACTACCGGGGAATGTGTATGGCAGTGCTCAAGTTAACATGTATGATCTTTTTGTTCTTTGAAACCTGATAATCATGGCAGGCTGCATAGCTATGGGGTAAAAGCCCCAAACACGGATATTTTCCCTGCTTTTGAGTCTTCTTGAGAATGACTGAGGAGACAGGTGGGCCCCTGAGGGTTTTGCCATTGTGAAAATAGATTGTAACTGCCAACTTCCATCTGGTCTTGGGCTCTGGCCGCAGTGGGTGGAAGCCAGGGAGTCATCACTGAACTTTCAATAAAAATTTTTCCTGGTTTGCCATGAACTCCTACACCCTCAAAACCCCTGCTCAGCCCCTTGTGAGGGCTGTTAGTCCTGCCTAACAGCCCCATCCCTGCAAGGACCTTCACCTCAGCTACACCTCACTGCCTCCCCACAGAGCAGGGCGCTCTGAGCACCACTGGGCCTGGCAGTCTGGGGGATGCCACGCCAGGACTGGTCTTGTGTTCCTTGCAGCTGTGCCACCATCCGAGACCTTTGGCTTTAAAGTGGCTGTGATCGCCTCCATCATCAGCTCTGCCATCATCCTGCTCATGTCCATGGCCTTCTTTACCTGCTGCCTGATAAAGTGTGTGAAGAGGAGTGAGCAGAGGCGCACCGACAGGTGAGTGCTTGGTGCTACTGCAGAGGCTCCTGGGAGTGGGGCCTGGGGAGTGGTCGAGCGAAGAGGCCGCAGTGACTGTGTGGCTGAGATGCCCACACGCTCACCGTGGTCTTGGCCACAGACCAGGGTTGGAAGCATACTGGACACGCCTGACAACCTCTCCATCTGTCTACAGGGAGGCCCAGCTGTGGCTCCAGCTACGTGGTGAGGACCTGGAGACAGTGCAGGCCGCTTACCTGGGTCTAAAGTATTTGAACAGCAACAACAGCTCACAGCCCAGGAGCTGGCTCAGCCATGCTCATGACAACCAAAGCTTCACCATGTAGGCATGGGGCTGGGGCTAGGGGAGGGCTGAAGAGATCAGGGTGTGGGCCTGTTTAGCAGGAAACTAGACTTGCAAACCTAGACTCTGCCTGCTGTACCCAGGTCCTCAGGGCCCAGTGCTCATCCCTGAGGCAGCAGTCATTCAGTCCTTTCAGGCACCCTGACCCAGCACCCAGAAGCCCCCACCTATGTCTGTAGTTTGATAATCAAACCAGCAGAGAAGTTGAAACTTCTGGACACAGGGCTCCATGCAATGTACACTTGACTCAATCTGTACTAAGCACCTGCCTTATCTCTCTTCCCTTGTCGCTCCCATTTCTCTGTGTCTCTCTCATTTTCCTATCTCTGTCTCTCTGTGTCTGAACACACACACACACACACACATTTTTTTTAAACCAATATCAGGACATTTTCTGTCATGCCAATTTGTGAACTGGGGATGTAATCCTGGCTGAAGGTGAACTCAGCTAGAACCATCTCTTGAGCTGTTCGTAGCTTTGAGCACATGCCCTTTAATCCAGGGTTCTGCTTGTTCCCAGTTGTGGGGTCTCCTTCATTGGGGACCAGCTTCGTGTCTCTAGCGCCACTGTCACTAGTGTGGATTGTGGCTGGTGCTGGCCAGACCATGCACCACTACCTGTGTCCCAGTAGGCACACAGGCTGGGTTCTCTGGACAGGGCTGTTCCACTGTTAAGTAATGAAGAAAGGGAGGAGGGAGGAGTCTTGACCTCCACCCAGGGTGGTCATGTTCTGGGATTGCAATTCTGCCATTCCTTCTGTGAAGAATGAGGATGAGTTCTGGCTTTCTTCCTTTTCCATTTTGTTTGTCATTTTAGTATCACTGTGAGTTCATGGGTATTCTTTTCTCAAACTTTATTTGGAGAATCTCATAAACATACAGAAACAAGGAGAAAAGTGTAATGGTCTCCTGGCTTGCCTCGGCCCTCAGGCCTACTGAGTTCCCCTATCATTTCGAGTCATATTACCAGCTGTGATCCTTTGTCTATGGGTGCTTCAGTGCCAGCATGCCACCCGGGTTATGCCTTGTTCTTTAAGAATTTCCATAATATCCTGGGCCATCGAGTGCATCATAGTGATACTAAAATGGCAAAACAAAATGGAAAAGGAAGAAAACCAGAATTCAGCCTCATTCTTTACAGAAGGAATGGCAGAATTATAGTACTAGAATGTGATCAGTCTGGCTGGTGAAAATGAGGCTGCAAAGCTCCCGGGTGTAGGGGGACCCTGTGCTTGCCATATGGACACCTGGCTAAGGCTGGGGGTGTTTTCTTTTTCCCACAGCTGGCACAGAGCTGCATGAGGAATTGAGTCCACTCATTGAGGAAGCAGGAGAGCCCAAGTGGGGGTGCCCTGAGGACTCCTTGACGGGCTGGTGGAGGCTAGCTTGAGGGCCACTCTGAGTAGTGGTTCTATCAGTTTAGCTCAAGAGGTGGGAAGGAAGGTAAAGGAAACACTTGGGCAGAACCCTCCTGTAGCTACGCACAAATCCCTCTCAGCACAGCTTAATGGGGACCCAGGGAAAGCTCTGAGTCCTCAGGGTCTCTGCTAGTACACAGCTCAAGGGCCTCTGAAAGGGCCATCCTTAGGCAAGGCTGGGTGACTAGTGGTGAATTACCTTAGTAGGGTCCATGGTAATTCTGTCCCATTTTAAGAAACATATAGAGAATCACACACAGCTAGTAAAGCATGACAATGTGTTAAGTGTACGAACTTGTCTGCAAGCTATCTGTCCTCTCTACTAACTGATTCACTCAAGCATTCAACCAACATATAACTTCTTAATTCCTATTAATCCCTAGAGCTTTTTAAAAACTAAGTATAAGTGGGAGTAGTGATCCTAGCAAGCTTCCTAAAGAAGGTGGTGTCTGAAGTGAACAGGCAGTGAACCTGCAACCTGCATTTTGGGAAATAAAGAGCCAACATCTTACTGGGAGAGAACAGCCTTGCAGAGACAAGCAGCCTTTTAAGAGCTGGACCAGTGTGGGTAGGCCAGATGGACAGGCCTAGTGGGTGGAGGCAGGGTCAGGTGGGGGGTGGCCACATTTGATCAACCTGGAGAATGGAGTGGCTCAGGGGATGCTTCTGGGAACTGAGGATCTGTAAGGTGGTGATCTGACCCTAGGCCCCCAGAAGATAGGCCTCATAGCAATGAGGATGGCTTCACCCTGATGCTCATGAGCCCTATGGGCTTTTTCCTCTCTGGGGCATCTAGTCCTGTAAGCCAGGGCTTACATACACTGAATGAATCTCCTTCACACAAGCCCAAGAAGCCCCTCCCCTGGTTTAGAAGCCAGGTGTGCTCATACCACTCCCCTTGTCCTGGTGAGAGGCCTGTAGTCCAGGGAGTAGTGCCAGTGAAGGAGCCTCCTTGGGTGTAGGGCAGGTTCAGCAGGACGAAACTGGGCTCCTCAACCTAGGGGCACAGTCTGCCACAGGTCTAACTCCAGTTTCCCAGATGGATCGAGTTGGGGTTTCACAGATCATAGTCTTCCTACAGCTCTTGTTCTTCTCTCTCCACAGAGACTTAGGTGAGGGTGCTAGAGAGGCAGCTGGCATGGCCCACAGTGTGAACAAGGACCCATGGACCTCGAGAACTGGTGCTCTGAACCCCGTTGGCCCTACGGGCTTCCCCCACACCCAGGAGAGGGTGCATACAACGAATCCGGGGCAGACTGTGCCTGCCTCCAGACTCACCTCAGGAATCCAGAGGCAGCCTATGGCCTACACCCCGGGATGACTGCAGCCAAGGACTCACTCTTTGGGGGTAGGGGCATTGGCAACTTGAGGTGTCCACCTCAAGATTGGTCATGAAGTCAGCTTCTGGCTTAAGGATCCCTCAGGACATCCAGCTGGAGGCTCAAGGGAGGTGTCCTACCTGAGGGAGCCCCGCTGTAACAGTTTTTATAGTTAGGCTCCTTGAAACCTCAAGAGGATCTCAGACCCAGTTGTGTCTCCTTTTGACCTAGTTCTGATAAAGACACAGGGGCACTTTAAGCAAATCTAGTTTTGCATAGCAGAGTAGGAAAATAAAATCAGCAACTTCAGATGCATCTTCCTCATGGGGTGCTGCTTGTGAGATGGGACTTGGTGAGCTCCCGTGCCTCCAATCGTTGTAAAGCTATTGAACAAGATTGTAAAATAAAAAGTTCTTTCTAATACTGAAAAAAAAAAAAAAAAAAAAGGTAAAAGTCACTGTCTTGGATTTCGATCTCTCTAGACCAACCCCAGGCACACTGGCTCAAAACTCCAGTCCCTCATTACTGTCTGGGCTGCAGGCTTAACCAGTGGTGGCTCCCATGGTCCTGCCTGAGGTGCTATAGTCAGCTGGTGAAAGTCTGGCTAGCACATCAGGGTGCTGTTGCTGCTATCTGCAGAGGCCTTGGTGAGAATTGTGGGTGCAAGCACCGCCTTTCAAGCCTCCAGTCACGTCACATTCTTCCCAGCAGGAGTGGCAGCTGGACTTCACTTGTGGAGAAGGCATACCTGCATACATCCAGCCCAGCCCTCCACCTGTCTTAATCCCAGGTGAGCCCTGTGTGTGTGTGTCCCATGGGTGTGGCTCTTTTTGGTAGTCATTCATACACACTTGTTTGCTCCATTGAACATGACCTTGGGCTCATTTCTCTAGTGCCTTCTGCACATTCACCTAAGTGGCTTGAGGTGGCCCCATCTTCCAGGTCTAGGACCTGGAGGGTTGATCTAGGTTTTAGATTTGTGTGAGTTGATTCTATGAAACATGAAATTCTAACTATGAATAGAATTGAGTCTCTTTCTAAGGCAAGTTTCCTCTTGGAATACATGAATGTTTACCTATATCTGATTTCTGAGAGTTCCTTATTAAATTTGGAGATGAGTGCTCTGTGAGTTGAGCTGCCAACCTTTTCCTGGTTTCTAGATTATCTTTTGACTTCACTGAGAACTTGAAGGGGAAACTGATAAGAGGCCTGAATAGGAAGGGAGCGCTGGAGAAAATCAGGAGGATCAGCAAATGCATACATAACTTGGAATGAACTCTCCTTGCTTGATTTAAATATTCCTGATCAGATACTACATGCCATGGTTACAGGATTAGAATGGAACAAAAGTCCCAGGTGGATATGAAGGCATGGGAGGGGTTTGGGCCAGTGCATCTGAGACATCCAGGGGCTCTGGTGAGCAACCTCAGTTCACATGCATCTGGACCCTTCTATGTATGAGATGCACTTTGCTCACAGATTGGTGAGGGCCCCAAGAACCCCTTCTACCCTCCAGGACCAAGTACTTACTTTCCATTCAGCATTGGTGCAGCCAGAGCCTGGAAGTGGCAAAGAGGGAGGAAGCTTACATAGCTCCTGCCCCCCAGATCTTAGGAAGGGGGATGCCCAGGGTCTGCCATTTGACTCTAGGGGTGGAGCTCCTGGATGAGGATCTAGGCTTGCCAGCCTCTGTCCAGGGCCACAGCCTTCAGATCTGTTGGAGTGCTGCGTGGGCCACATGGCCAAATGGCCACATGAGTAGTATCCTTGGAGTGAATTTGGCACCTGGGAGCACTGTCCTGCTAGACCTTAAGGGAGGAACTCTTGTCACTCTGAGCCTCAGTTTCCCCATTGTCCTGTGACCAAGTGCACATGAAGGTGAAATGCTGGTCTCCTAAAATGGGCTGGGGTGACACCTGGGGCCTCGCTATGTCACCTGTCTATATAGATCTCACCCTGAGATCTGGTTCTGACATTACTCCTAGAAGGTCAAACAAACCGAGAGGTAAATACTTGAAAGCGATAAAACAGTGAGAATAATGGGGTTCAGGCCTGTCTTCACTGGGGCCCTTTCCTAGAGATTCCCAGAAGGGAGTACCTTGACTCCTAGCCAGCCTGACCCTGACTCCTAGCCCGCACTGGACTTATACCAGTGCACATACAAGAGAGAGCCTGGGAGAGAACACTTAGGTTGGGCCACATAGCTGCCCTTCCCTGGAGGAAGTCCTTTCTGTGTGGACCCTTAGGGTCTAGTTGTATGTCACCGGGAAGCCTGGCTAGGTGCACCTCCAAATTTGGGGAGGAAGTGGATCCTATGTAGTGACCACCACTACCAGGTCCAAGAGTTTTGGGGTTTTCAGTTGACAAGTGCTCCGATTCTCAGGATGCCCCAGTGCACCCACCTTTGAGAGGTCAAGTGAGGACAGATGTGAAAGGGAAGGAGAAGCATATACCGTGGGAATTGGAGCATTGCTATACTGTCCGAGAAATGAACACTAGGTCAGGTTGCAGCGTCTCAAAATGAGAGCGCGCTATTGGCCGATGCAGGCCATTGGGGCAAAACCAAAACACTACCGGGAAGCACAAGTTGTGAACGGTGCGCTTCCTGCCACAAGCTCCATTTTGTGCTTCGCAGCAGTGGGGGGGGGGGGGGGGGGGGGTGGAGCTCCTGAGGGACGCCAGTACTGGCAGGGCCAGGCTTGTGAGAGGACAGTGAGCTGCTTTGGGGAAACAGAGAATTGCCCGAGATCACCCTTTTACAGATTAAGAAGGAAACTGGCGTTCAGGCAGTTAAGCCACCCCCCTGTCTAGGGGCATACTGCCGAGAGGGGTCTCCTACTGCAGATGGGGTCTCCAGAAGGGACTGCCCCACCCAAATCACCAGTGAGTTCCTCTTCTCCCCACGTTCAGGCGACGCATCACTGACCCAGCGCCGCCCTCTGGCTGACCCCTCTCTTCGATACTGATTGCGCCCCAGTCTTTGTGCCCCAGACCAGGTTCTGTACTCCCAGTGCCTAACCGCCTGCGCGACCCTGGATAAGTCATTTTATTTCCAGAGCCTCCGCCGTTTCCTCCAGGCCTGGAGCGCCTCCCTCGGGGCCAGCGCGGGGAGGGGCCGGGCCAGGATGGGGCGGGGCCCGGGAGGCACGCGACGGCTACCGCGGAGGTTGCGTCGGGGCTGGGAGCGGCGCTGGAGTGGGGACGGAGTCTGGTAACACAAACCCCGACCTTTGGGCGGGGCTCGGAGCAGTGGCCGCCACCAAGCCGCCGCTGGAGGGAGCTGAAGTTAGCGCTGTCTCAGCTACGCGATCCCGGCAAGGCCTAACGCGAAGGGGCGTGACAGCGACCGAGAGGGGCGGGGCTCAGGGTTCTGGGACCTCCGGGACACCCGCGAGGAAGGGCGGGTTTAGCGGTCACGCCAACTCCGGGGGCGTGGTCTAGGTGAGGGGGCGGGGCTCAGGGTTCTGGGACCTCCCGGGCACCCGCGAGGAAGGGCGGGTTTAGCGGTGACGCCAACTCCGGGGGCGTGGTCTAGGCGAAGGGGCGGGCTCAGGGTTCTGGGACCTCCGGGGCACCCGCGAGGAAGGGAGGGTTTAGCGGTGACGCCACTCCGGGGGCGTGGTCTAAGCGAAGGGGCGGGGCTCTTCAGGGCGGGGCTAAGCAAGGCGTGGCCTACGGGAAGGGGCGGGCCGGGCGGCGTGCTGGCGGCGGTGTCCCGCACCCGAGAGCGGCTGACGGGCGGAGGCTCTTCGGGGTGAAGCTGCCGGGGCCGGCCGGGCGCGCCGGGTCGCCGCCATGACAGGTGAGCACGGGCCGAGTCGGGTCGTGCCTGTCGTCCCAGGACGGGCATGCAGCCTCGGCGGTCCCCTGGCCCGGCGGTCCCTGTGCCGCTTCTGAGATTGCTTCTCCCTGCGGTGGCTAAATAACCTTGGTTCGTGGCAGATCAAACCTCGGAGAGGTCTGGGGAGCCGGACACTGAATAGTTCTGGGGTCAGAGCCCGGGGCTCGCAGAGTTGGGGGTGGGTGGGGCACTTGCAAGGGGCGGGGGCGGGGCTAAGGCCCAAGAAGGTGGGCGGGGGTTGGGGGTTCAGGGTTGGCTCCGAAATGTTCTGGGGGCGGAGCCGAGTGCCTGACCCTGGAAACTTGTGAGGAGCTGTGGCCAGACCCTAGGATGTTCTGAGGGCTGCTTTGCGTTCTAGGGTGGGGATGCAGTCTGTCAGAGCGAGAGGTAAGAGTGTGTGGTTCCACTGTTCAGAGACAAACACACCGTTCGTTCTTTACAGCTGAGGACAAGGCCCCCAGACAGTGTGTTCCCGGGTAGTGTGTCTTGTTGGTGGGTGCTATGCACCTCTGTCTGGGCTGCTCTCTTGCCAAGGGACAGGCCCAGGGGTAGCAGGCCAAAGATTGAATTCTCCAGGAATTTGTGCTTCCTGCTGGGTGACCCCAGGGGTTGCACCTGCCCTTTGCAGGATGGGGTTTCCAATCCAACCATCTCCCCAAGGCTTCTTTGGATTTGGAACTCCTTTCTCCTTGTCCTCCCATCTGAGTGGGGCCACTTTGCTTTGTGAACCTTCTCCAGTTGCACTGAGAAGCCCTGTGAGGTCATTAGCCCCCAAGGAAACATCCTCAGGGAACGGATGAGTCCACTCTCCAGGCCCCACTCCTCTGCCTTGTTGGAGAGAAGTCACCTAGAGGTGGCTAAGGGGGTCAGGGAGGCCTAAGAAGTCCCTATCATCTCTCTCCATTCTCATGAGAGTGCCTGCCTGGGGCGTGCACACATCTGGTTTCCTGGGCTGGAATCTGGTGACTTCTGGGACACCAGTGTTCCAGCCCAGACAAGGAGCAGCCCAAGCTACAAATCACTCCCTTGTCATCCCTTTTGACCCTTAGCATTTGTAACTGCTTTTTCCAAAACCTACTGTGTGCCTGGCCTTGTGGAGATTTGTTGTGTGATGTCCTGTGGAACATGTGTGTGTGGGTGGACAAAACAGAGACTCATTGGGAGGCATCAAACCCAGAAGGCTGGGGCAGTTAGTGGTAGAGCTAGCCAAGTATTAATGCAGCTGTCAGTGGTAAAGTAGTCCTCTGCCCTACCCATGCCCCTGTTTCTCTTTCTCCATACCAGCGCTGCTCACTGGACAGGAGGAGATTCTGGGACTTCTGAAACAGGAGGGGAGTTTGAGGGAGATGGGGGTGTATAGTGAGTGATGGTGAGTTAGTCAAGTAGGAACCACAGGGACAGGTGTTCCTGCACTTGGGGTGTATACAGTTGGGGGGCTGCCAAGCTGTAAGGACTTAGAGTGCCCAGTGAGGTGGCCCCTGGGGCCCAGGTCAAGGCTTTAGTCTGGCCTGGAAG